GGGCATTTCAACAATTCCCCCCCCCCCCCAAGAAAAAAACAAAAAACAAATACTGATATAAGATATAAAACCACCACTGCCTCATTGCCTCGTTTTCCCAGTGCATTTTATCATTATTATTTCATTAACTTTATTATTATTGTTTTAAACTTTTTATTATTCTTATTATTATTATTATTATTATTATTATTATTATTTTAACGACCGTTGCACCGGGTCCGACGTCCCTTACCTATTTACCACAGCCACAGCCATATGGACAAGGGGACGGCACTCCCGACCAAGCCCATCCCCATTCCCCAGCGCACATTCACAGTAGTGCCCCAATGAAAAACCTACCGCTAGCAGCGCACTGAGCACGCTCTTTTGGTGGGCGGGGACCGCCACTTACTTCGGTCCAGTAACCCTCAGCCTCCGGAATGTTTTTCGGATTGGCGAGGTTTCAAATATCAAGTTTGTCTGGGCGATGTACTGGCGGTTTTAAACCACCAGTTGTCACCTGCGCTGAGCGCGCTCTTTTGGTGGGCGGGGACCGCCACTTACCATACGTTGGCCACGGGCCCCTCACCACAAGTCAAGTTTTGGAGGTGCAATATGTGCCGCCGACCGTTGATGAAATTTATCGCCGGCGTGCCGACCCCAAACTTTTCAGCGCAGGCGACAACTCCCTATTCCACAAGGCTGGGGCCGTGTGCTACCAGTTCGAGTCCCTTATTATGACCCTTCTTCTCGGGAAATTTTCAGATTGCCTCGTTTTCGAATTTCAAATTTGACTGGGCACTGTACTGGGGGTTAAGTCCCTTAACTCATATATATATGGCTTCACGGGGGAGATGACTCGAACTCAATAGGCCTTCTTCCAAACTGAGCAAGAGGGTTGCACTTTGGACATACTGGGCTCGTGTTTGTTTGTTTTCTCATAACTTCTTTTTTTCTTCTCCTTTCCCCATAGCCAGAAGTAAATGGGCTTTATTTTTTTCTTTCTGTTTTTTTTTTTTTTTTTCCGTACATTCATAATTGAAAAACCAGCAGAGGTCTGCGGCAGAGATCCACACTCCAGTGGTTTAGGCAATGCCATGCCGGGTTGCCGATGTCCTTGCTTGAGGGCGTGCCCACCATAGTAGGATTTTGTGGGATGCTCCTGGCCGCTTTTCCGTCCACATTCAGTCCAGGAAAAAGTCGACCAATGAGTATATGCTCTACGCAGCCACATGATGTAGGCCATTTGAAAGTTCACATGCAAAGATGCCCTAAAAGCTCTGCAATTATATTATTTAACTATTATACTTACAGTTTTCTACCAATCACAATGCACCATATGCGCCCTCATTATGGATGTACCGAACCGGAAAGAAAGCTTCTATACATTCACTATCAGCGTACGGTATGTTCCGGGGGAAGACGGGAGTTCGCACGCCTCAAACACTCTCTTCTTCTCAGATTCAAAGGCTTGCAACTTTGCAAGACCTTGCCCAAAAGACAGCGCAGCGTACGTTCACCAAGTGCACACTTCCACTAAGGCTTCCAGGTACGTGTATGATTGTTGCAATAACGGCCAAGTTCAGCAGTCCACAGACATGTATAATTGCTGCAATCACGGTCAAGTTCATTTCAGAAGGAAGCCCTAGTCCATGGTGTATGTCCCAAGTTAGCACAACAACACAAACTTTGGCTATATTCCTCACCCCCACAGACTTGCAAGGTTGTGCCCACATCTTCTTCTTTTTTCTTTTCTTTCATTCTTTTTTTTTTCCTTTTTTTTTTTTTCTTCTTTTTTCTTTTCTTTCCTCTTTTTTTTTTTTTTTTTTTTTTTTTTTAAATCCTTCCACAGGTTCACCTCTGGAAACCTTGTTAGACCACCTCCTTCCTCCAAATGATAAGGTTCAATGAACTTCTCACAGGCCCCCACATCTCTGAAGGACATACATACACTAGGACTTTCTCAACGAACTTGGCCATTATCGCAGTCATATTCATTCATCCTTGCCAATGTGCTGCATTCATATATAGATACACATAGAGACCTGCAAGGCCTCTCCGCACATTTCTGCAGGACATACACTGGGACTTTCTCAAAGGAACTTGGTCGTCATTGCAGTCATATTCATTCATCCTTGCCAGCGGGCTGTATTCATATAGATGCACACGTACGGGGTTCATCCGAACATGAAGTAGGGTCATTATAGCTGTGTATTTGGGAAAACTTTGAGTGTGGCCATCATCGCAAATTGAATGATTTTATTGTGTCCAGCGGCTCCAGCGGCTCCAGCGACTCCAGCCAAAGAAAATCATTCTTTTATGCTACCTATCAAATGTGTTTGCTGTGTATCATTCCAATATGAAGATTAGCATGGCCCCTGCTCAAGGATGGCACACATTAAATGGTCCGGATAATAAAAACAAAAAAAGCATTCGCTGTACGGTTTTTCATTGTTGCCCATCACAAGGGGCCGGCGGGCACTTGCCAAATATACCCCAATTGGTGAGCCAATTGGGGAAGGGGGGGGGCTGTGCAGACAGTCCCCTTCAGCGCATAGCAGCCACAAAGAGAGAGAGAGAGAGAGAGAGAGAGAGAGAGAGAGAGAGAGAGAGAGAGAGAGAGAGTTGGGGTTATGTGCAGATAAACCCCTTACACCAGACACTACTTTACTACTCAATACTCCAACAAAACCATCTGCCTGCTGCAGAGATGAGCAACGGGTACCCAGACCCACACCCACGAGGCGTTGGGTCAGGTCTGGGTCTTGATAAGCTGGGATGGGTGGGATGATGGTGGGTGATGGGCAGGTCAATGTTAGGGCTGGCTCGCCTGAATGGCTGGGTGGCAGGCGGGTGAGTGATAGGCCTGGTCACCTGACCCACAGACCTAGGACAACCCATAAGAACCAACCCACCCCCAACTCGTACATATTTTCCAGCTACGATCCAGCTGTGGACTTCAAAAGTTTTTTGGAGGCCCAGGAGACATACAGTCTCCATCCGTGCCGGTGGCAAATCAAAATTTGTGGTCCTTCCAAAAAAAAGAGCCGTGCCGGTGGCAAATCAAAATTTGGGATCCTACTTGGTAGGTTCGTACCGGTGGCAGCTGGACCATCGCCTAACAATGGGATCGGCAAGCATCCCATTGAAAACAACGGGGATCGAACCTACCCACAACAGGTGGAAAGGTTGGCTCAAACTTGTGGAGCACTTCAGATTTTGGCGCCGTCATCCAAGCATGTCATTTTCATACTATGGTGGGTTTTAGGGAACGAACGGGTGCGGATGGAAAATCATTAGGTACCGGGTGCGGGCGGGTAATCTTGTTCTCATGGGTGTGGGTGGGTCCGGGTGAAGGTTCTTTACGGGTGGTGGGCGGGTCGGGTGTGGGAGGAAATTTTCGGAAAAACACTTGGGTGGGTTGGGTCACCTTGAGATTTTTGTTACTTATTTTTTCTGAGGGCGGGCTGTACTTCAGAAAATGTGGGCGGGTTGGGTGACGTGCCAATTCAAAAAAAAAGACATAACAGCGGACACGGCATGTTTTGAAACCCTAAGGCAAAAAAAACTTGCGCCGGCATTTTTGTGAACAGCACCGTCATTCAGAGTGGACGGCACCGTTTTTGTGAACAGCACCGTCAATCAGAATGGACTTGTTTCAAGTGACCACCTCTTGGATTGAAATGCGCGCCTGGCGGCAACATTAGCTGTGAATCTCTCGCCGAAGAGCACGAGTGAATAGTACGCAATCTTATGTGTGAGATGCAAACAGTGGGACTCCCCTTCGTACACACACACTACCTTTCTCTCCCCAAATGCAATGCCCATTGCCCTCCCACCGAAGGGCTGTATGTACTGTTTACACTGGAAAGCGTTTGTAATACTTGTTACTTGTATACATTCATGATCTTGGTATACATTCATGATCTTGGGGTAGCAATATTTGGGCGAAGAAGAAGGATGTGTACACTAATGTACAACACAGCATATTGGATCTGCAAAGAAATAAAGGATGAATTGACTCTGAGGAGGAAGCCAAAACAAAAAAAAACAAACAAAAAAAAAGAAAAGAAAAGAAAAGAAAGAGAAGGAAGCAACATTATCACCATAGCTAGTGTTGAAATCGACAAGGAGAGCTGCCGCCTGTGGCCGCCTTGTTCTTCTAGATATTCCTGATTTTTTTTTCTTTTTCCGTGTAAAACTAGACTACCAGAGTGGCCCGGGTCCACACGCCCGGCCGGGGCAAAAAGATAATTAAATAATAATAATAAAAAAAAATTAAAAAAATATATCTTAAACTTGGTAAAGAATTTCAATGTGACCCTGAGGCAAAACTTGGTCAGTTTATTTTTCTGTATAACATAGTTTTTTTTTCGGATTTTTTTTATTTTGATTTTTTTTTTTCTGGCTGGGACCTTCTGGTCCTGGCGCGGCCGGGCCGCCCCGGAAAATAGGGTGACCCGGGCGGCCCGGCTGGTAGCCTAGACTGTAAAATCATTTACTGAAAAAGTTCAAAATGGGATGCTGGAACCGGTTTCCAGCACGTGCTGCTCCCCACAAACAGATTGGATCTTTTTTCAAAAAAAGAAAAAGAGTTTTTTGTCAAAAAAAGAAAACGAGTTTTTGTCAAAAAAAGAAAAAGAGACGAAAAGTTATTAGAGAGCCACAGAGATGAGAGACATCGCAGACGAGAAGCAGCACATAAAAATGGCCCAGACAAGGTATTTAAAAAAAAAAAAAACAAAAAAAAAACACAGGAACAAATGCTACCAAACACTAGTTCTAACCTGCACCAAAATTGCAATAGAGTATAAAGAAATATAAAAAATGACATAATTTATCCTGTCGTCAACTTTAATATATGACTACTACCATAGAATCCGTTTAATGATTACTCGCCTAAAAGAATAATAACAAAAAAACAAATCCCTTAGGCTGCTAAGCATATCCATTCACTTCCTCACCAATAGCACACGCAGGTTTTACCACCTCCTGTCTTTTTTTTTTTTTTTTTAATATATAATTGGTCTGTAGATTTACTGGGAATAAAAAATAATTCAATAAATTCCCTTCTGCAATCATTGGAGAAACACTGACGACACCCGCCATTCACCACTCATTATGAATTTATGACTCGTTTCCTTCAGTGACGATCCCATCAGCCATTTCTTTCACTGATCATACACACCATCCGCCAGTCATTTCATGCACTGATGATCTTATCAGCCAATTCGTACACTGATTACAACCCCTCTCCCCCCCCTCCCCCCCCTCCCCCCCCCCAATTCGTCCGTGATCTATCTAATCCGCTAATCACACAATCAGCCATTCGATCAACCGGTGATAGATATGCTTTACATGCATGCATGCATGCACGAATGGTCGTATCGATCAGCCATTCGATCGACCGATGATATGCTTTACATGCATGCATGCATGCACGAATGGTTGTATCGACAAAAAGAAGAAGACATGCTTCCCCTCCTCTGTCAGAAGCCGCTGACGAACAACCACAGACGCACACACTTGGACGCTCGATTACAATGACTTCTTCTGATCGGACATCTTTGTCATTCCCTGATTGCGCATGCCATACCTGCCTTACCTATATGACGATTGGACATTGCCATACGTCCTCGATTGCGTAATTCCACCATTGCATGCGGAAAAATCGGCGGTGGCAACAGCAGCATCAGGAGCAGCGTGCCAATGAATCCGCCACCCATGGAACCTGGATCGAAATGGATTCGTCCGATCGGACGTATCTTCGTACTTGCTCCAATACACATGCCTTACTTATATGACGATCAGACATTCTCACTTTTTCTAAGTAATTCGACCATTGCATGTGCAAAGATCAGCGGCATCAGCAGCAGCAGCAGCAGCAGCACCAGTATGCCTATGAATCCGCATATCCCGATGAATCCCCCGTTGCATGCGTAATGTAGGAATCGTGAGCTTATGTCGTTGCACGCTTGGACTGCCAGTGCTCACAATTGCACAATGAATGTCAAATAAACGACATCAAAACAAAGGATCACTTACTCACCACACACTGTTCAAACCATGCTTCACAGCTGCATGTCCCGCTGAAACCACATCCACCGAGTGCTCGATAACTTGAGTGAGATGTTGAGCTCTGATGCTTGTACTCTTTACCCAAAGACGAGGGCCAAAGCCCAGTATCCTACTACCAGTTCCTCCCAGAACCCTCCACAATGTTCCCTCTTCCAAGAATCCTTCAAGACAACTAAAACAAATACTCACCAATCCTCCCCCCCCTGCATTCACAGTACAGCAAAAACGCCCCAACTGTCCCAGAAGAACCACAACCAGAATTCACAGGTCTCCTTGTCTCGTCACCTCCTTCGAAATCCACTCCCTCGTCAGAAACGCAGTTATCAAGATGCACCATGTCAGCTTTCTCTCTCTCTCTCTCTCTCTCTCTCTCTCTCTCTCTCTCTCTCTCTCTCTCTCTCTCTCTCCCCCCCCCCCCCCCCCCCCCGCCCCCCCACGCGACAATTCTCCCCTGCCCACAAAACCATCACTCCCTTTCTATGATGTCCTGCGTTATCACATCGTTTGGTCTGGACGAAATCATTCCAAGTCCATCTCTCTCTCATTTTAGGTGGACTTACAAAGCACATAGGTCTCATCAAGTTGGCCTCACGGCGGTCCTTGTTCCTTTCGATGAAGAGTCGACAGACAAAGACATGATTAGCACAACCCCCTCTGCCTCTACCTACAAGTACATGCTAAATGGCAAAGTATTTCCATGAGCCCACCGTTCATCAACCGATGCATGGGGACTTTTAGCATGTGCAGGAGAGCTCGGTGGAGCTCCCGCCGAGACGACCAACCCGAAACCAAAAAGGCAACCAGAAAAGAGAGGAGACGTAAAACACCCATAACCGCACCCGTACTCCAGTTCATGCCATTTGTACCACCCTCTGTTTGACAGTCAGCTCATGACGCAGACACACATAGCTTTGATAGGATGACATAAGACGGAGAGTCACTCCTTGCTTAACGCTTCCAAACCAGCTCTTTTGTCGGCACCCAACCGTATGCACACTCTCTGCAAACACCTCCTCTCTGTGCATCCATATGATCAAGCGAGAGAAGGGAAGCTCAGCACCTGTTGAGGCAAGCACGAAGCAAACCTACATCCCTTGCTGTCATGGGAATCGGGAGCCTTTCTATGCGCTCGAATACTCCATGATACCACAAAGGCGGTTCAGCAGTCGATCTGTGCACTCGTTGGTGTCTGTTTGCGAAAGACCTTTTGGGCAATAGTCTTTCTATCTGTTCATGGGCTTTTTCAATTGCGAAAAGGCAGTTGTTCGTTGATTGGATTGTGTTACATTGACAGGTGAGCTCTCCAATAAGCAGACAGGGGAGCAGTCGACAGGTGCCCAACATAAAATGTAACATGAGGAGGTGCCAGCCATTCGCAAACTACTTACGCTTCGTGGAATGAAAATCGTGAGAGGTGGGCGGTCAGCGAGTCCAACTCTCTCACTCACAGTATATTGACTATCGGCAGCGCCCAGAGTTCTTTGCTTTTTGCCACTCTCTCTCAGGCACTGAGATGTACTTCTCAACGTCACACCTTTGCAGATCGGCAGGTCCGCAGATCGAGTCCATGGCGAGGTTGCATTACACGGTAGTACCCTCTCTCGTCCAGCAGGTTACGAGTACCCTTCTGTGCGCGAAGATTAGTGTACACCTTCGCGGATCAGGAGGTTCCCAGATTGACACCACATTACAGCAGGTCTGCATTACGGTAGTACCCTCTCTCGTCAAGCAGGTTACGGCACTTATGAGTATCCTTCCAACATGACATAAACAAAGCCGTGCTCCGACTGTTGTTTTCGTTTCTGGTAAAGGACAAAGCTGCCATAAGACGCTCCTGCGACTGTCAGGACGGATGCGAAAACGATCAGAACAATCATCCACGCGCTCATGTGGCGATGATGACGATGTTTGCCAGAGGAAACCTTCTCGGAACCCTTGCTTGCAGGACACGGCGGTCCCTCGCATGGCTGCTCCTTTGGGGGCGCTGGCTCATTGGCAGAGCACCTCGAGTCGTCCACAACCTTCCCCGCCTGTCCGGGCACACCTTGCAGACAATGCACCTTACGTCTACGCACCCCCGTTCCACATTTTGCAGAGCAGGAAGACCATTCGCGAGCCTCCCAGTGGAATTTGGTCTTTCTCTCTGAGCGTAGGATCGCTCCTGAAGCGCAATAGCCTGTCAACTGGTCTGCATCCACAATCGTAGCCTCCGAGCAGTCAGCGCAGCAAACCCATAAATCATCTGTACCGGTCTTCGACGCGGACGGGCAGCGGGAACACGCTTTGCTGCCTTCCTCAGGCGCAGAATGAACGCAACACCTGAAGCGAGAGGTGAAGAACGGGCAAACCTCGCATGCCCCGTTACAGTCATCCGACTTTGCGACAGCCGTCCTTCCCAGGCCACAGCCATCAAAGATAGAAAAAGTACACTGCTGACTCCAGTAGCATTGCTCAGGTGTCGGCACCGCCAAGACTTCATGTACCCCAAAGAAGACCGAGAGCAAAACACTCGCAATCATAGTGAGGCCCACATGCCCTGCCATCCTGGCCCCGCTACCTCCGCCCCTACCCCCCTGACACCCCCGACCTGCCTACCGCGATAATTCTCCAGAGGGAAGCCGTCCTTTGGCAAGTAATCAATTAGTCGTCCTCACCCGACCGCAGCCGACCTCACCCCGACCCACCTAAAACCGCCGTTTCACTATACCTGTCTGCTTTTGACGAAAGACTGACCACCACCTTTCTCCACACGGCCCCTCTTGCTTTCGCCACCACGACCAACCTTCAATTCACGAGGCGGCGTCTACGCGATAAGGATCTGGCTGACTATCTGTCCGGCTGTTTCAGGAATCAAGAGTGGAAGCGCAAGCAAAACCAGCAGAGCCAATGCAGAGCAACAAGAAACCAGGTTATCTCAACAAGTCCCTGTGGGCCTGTGCTGACCGGATAGCTCTACTTCCACACATGTGTCTGGCACCAACACTGCATGGTTCTCTCTAAATGTCCCATGTGACCCTCTAAGTTCAATTTTCAATCCTCAGTGTCCTTACATCTCCTGGAAATCACATGCACAAGCAGTTTTTATGGTTTATCATGCATGTTCTCAGTATTTCTTAATGAATTTCTTCCACTAGAATCCTTTTTCTTCCATGTGCTTTCCCTCACACGCACACAGTGGGTGGGTTACAGCGTGTAACAGACCCACATGATATTAATGTGATAATATGATATTAATAATAATTTAATATCTCAATATCGCTGGGCGGGTCAAGGGGTGTAACGAACCCCCGTGATCTTCATATCTTAATAAATATCATAATATGTTAATATCTTCATATCATACGTTTAATTAGGATGCACCGCTCGACAGGAGTTCCCCGTTCGATTGCATCCCTGCATTTACACACCAACAAGAATTGAAGAGAGAAATTGAAAAATGTGGGAAATGATTTGGTAAGAAGCACTAGGAACATTGAAAGTACGGACTTCAGAGAGCGGGCGGGGCTTTTGTTGATAAGAACATTGAATCAAAAATTTCAAAATGCCAAAAACGCAAGGGGGAAAAAAGGCGTTGCCGTGCCAGTAAGAGCAAAGGAGGCATGTCGAGGCCTGTCAATTTTGCCCCCCATGACTGTTCAGCCGAAGAATGTCGTTTACGTCATTCCACGGTATCGCATTTACCCTGTGAAAGGTTGTGGTGGTTTAAAGTTTAAACTCCCCACCTTAACTTAAGTTGGGTGGTTAAAGTTTAAGAAAGCCCCCACCTCAACGATAACCTCTAGGCAATCGCCACACTTGTCTACGAACATCCCTCGTAAGACACCCCCCCAGCTGCATCAATTATGCAAAATCATAGTACTACTGTAGTTCCGTTCGGTTGCAGAGTAAATGGAATGATAGCTGCGTCAGTCCTTTGAGGTAAAAAAGCTCTAAATGCACGGAGCCAGGGACGATTTGAAAGGTGTGAAGCAGTGCAAAATGGTCAAAGCAACCTACGAGGACATAGCATGTACAATTTTCTTCGAGAAACTCGTAACAATGATCTCTCTTTTCATAACTGCCCTGTCAAAATACTCAAAAATTCTATCAGAAGACTTCACGTGGAGAGGTGGAAGATTGTTACCCCAGGAAACCCCTCCCAAATGAGCCTAGCCTAAAGGTTTTGATAGTCGCAACAGGTCTGACCACCCAGGCCACCCTAACCTCTTTCCTAATCAACTATCGATCAAACAACCAGGGTGTCCATTGCGAATACAGCTCCGGGGGTAGAAGAGATCTAACAAGTATTCCGTCTCAAGGAAGCACAAGTTCTCGGCAACAACCCCGAAAAGATCCTTCAACTGGACACTTATATCGAAGACCTAGAGTTCGCTCCAGCAGAATGGGTGTGGCAATTATGTTTCTTTCACGGGACTCAACACAAGGGAWAACATCAWAAMAYKGGKGGGRKTTYTTGWAAAAAAAAAAAAAAAAAAAAAAAAAAAAACAATCCCGCAAGGGAAGAGAAAACATAACATGTTCCAAAATGGCTGTTTAGGTTTTTGAACCGCAATCTGGCTTCGTGAATCCGGTCAAAATGTAGGAACAGGGTATTATAGGACATCCATGTCCCACATAGTTTGGGACATCCGTTAAAATTGGGACGATACAAAGAAGATTAACATGGAATAATCGGATTTAATTTTAATTTTTATTTTTAAAGGACGTTCGTTCCTATTTCTGACTGCTCAGTCAAACATGGCTATCACCCTCTCCCTCTCCCCAATGTGTCAGGAAAGATCCTTGCTAAGACTTTGGCCACAACACTCTCCCCGATCATGTCCAGACTCGTCACTCCAGAGTCCAGACCAGTCAGGTTTCGTTCCGCAGAGACTTAATGGTTGTATCTCAGGCTCTATCCCTTATTAAACAGCTCAACTGTACGACTTCTACCATACTCGTTGCTTTTGAAAAGGCTTACGATAAGAAGATGGGTCCACCACCTTGTACCAAGGCTCACAGCGCAAGATAGCGAGTGGTCAATGGCTATATTAGTATATTTCATGCTCATTCACTGTCTCTACAATCTAGATCTCTTTGACAGGGCTGTCCATTAACCCCGTCCCTTTTTGTGATCCAGATGGAGAGATCCTACTCCATATGATCAGATCCCATCCGGATTACAGACACCTCAGATTCTCTCCCCAATATGAACTCAATAGTGCCCGCACTCGTCGGCCATTTTTCTGCAATAACAGAACAAATTCCTGCTCCTCATTAGACGCTCTCAAACAGTGTCTGGCAGTCTATTTGCGGAAGCATCTGAATTTCTGAAATGAAGATTAGCTGGCATAAATCTACCACTCTACTCCCTAGTGAGGGGGGGACCTTAGCAACAGACCTTAATATAAAAGCTAGGGCTCACACAGACGCGGAAGGCTACCCGGGGGTACTAGCATCCTTTACGGACTGCAGCAAGGAGGAGCAAGCGGCCATTTGCGAAGGCCACCTTCGCATAAAAGCTAGGGCTCACACATACGCGGAGGGCTACCTGGGGTACTAGCATCCTTTACAGACTGCAGCAAGGAGGAGCAAGTGGCCATTTGCGAAGGCTACATCAGAGATGCATGCTCAAAAAGGTCTAAATTTCGGTATTTAGCACCCAGTGGAGAGCCACTGTGGCAAACTGTGTCATCCTCTCCACTGGGTGGTAAATACCGAAAATCAACTGCAGAGGATCTCCACGTCTACTGCAAAATTCATTAGACAATTAATAATAACTGGTTATATCTGGAAGCGGGGTTTCAACGTCCCCTCTTGCATCAGCAAGGTGGCATCGTGGAACTAGTCGAGAAGCGTGGTCAAGGCCGACTGGGAATATTCTTTACCCCGAAGGGCAGAATGACGCCCTGCTGGCCAAATGGCCAGTCAAACTCCTAACCTCTACTTCTCCTCAGCCATGGACATAGCTGGCTCGTCTTTTTTTTTTTTTTTTTTTAATGCGTGTCATCCTTGAGCAGGGGCCATGCTCATCTTCCTTTTCCGTATCGTTCAAATTTTAACGAACGTCCCAAGGGACAAGCTGTGGCTCAAGCCTTACAGGCTAACGATTGGGATTTTTTTGTCGGACCGAGAAGCGGCCTGGCAATCCCTGCTGATTCATCCCATGATAATGTCCACCAAATCGACCACTTGGTCACCTATGCTCCAATCTTTGGAGTCACCTGCTTTAGCACACTCTTTCGCCCCCATCGAACGCCAGGGATGTTCGCACCACATGCCTGTTTGACAATCCCACTATCACGGATACCTCTGGCAACACCTTCTCCGCCGCTTAAGAACCAGGGAACTTCGCAAGAAAGTGGCTGCAGAGAGGAGCATGACACGTTCAGCACCTACTCGAGGAAGGGATATACAGATGGAGGACCCCCGAAGAACTGAAGTAAGAACTCAGAGGACTTATAACAAGTTGAAGGAACACACAGACCAGCTTATTGCACCAATACCATCAGATTGGATCAGCTTCCTGAGGTCACAAGATCCTGCCTGGAAAACGGGATCCTGGTCGATCACACAGCAACCAAGTACGGATCGAGTCCTTTCGGGGGAATCAACAGGCGACCCTTTCCGGAGAGAAGTTTCTGATCAGAGCAGGAACTCCCACTATGGCACTACCTTCCCTCTGGGGGGAAGATTGTCTGCTGGAGGTTACGGTTGTTAGAGAAGCACCTCACAAGGGTAAGCCACATTTCTCGCCTCGCCAGTAATGGGAGGTTCCCCCTGCAGAGCTTGGAGGGTGGACGTTCAGCGTCTTGGTTGGACGGTACCCGACCCAGTAGGCCTCTCGCCCAACGTTCTCATCTTGGACCACAAGCCTAAGATTGGCCATGGTCTCTGCACCAAGGCTTCCCCTCTACAGATCAACCCCTTTGGCGCACTTGGAAGAAAAAAGGATGAGAACTCACATCTTCGTGTACATACAAGTGTAGAGCACGGTGGGCGCTACTTCACCGTGTACCCAAAGTTAGTTGGCCCTCAGAGAAAGGTATGGATGGTGGTGAACCCACAATGTGATGCCTGCCCGTGCATTTCCCTGGAAGACACAAGCCACCTTTGGTGGGATTGTGTGGTGGGTACAGGCTTCTGGGATTGGATCAGTAGGCTATGCTTCACGGTATATGGCCTGGACCAGGTTCGGACCGAGGAATTCATTATGCTCGATAGCTCAGGGGAGGATCAAGTGTCATTCATTGCCAATAAGTTCAGGGTTCCAGGGTTCTGGATTCTATTGCGTTCTCTGGCCCAATTTCTGTTTATGTTTCAGTCTTTTTAATTTATCTCCCCAGGTCAATCTGGTTGTTTTTTTGCGCCTAGTTTTGGAGTTGCAGCTATTTTTTTATTTATTCTTTTCTTTCAAGGTTTCCATAATTGGACCTTTAGATGCTAATCTTCTCTGTATAGGGGGGCGCGTCGGTTGGCGCAGGTTAGCGCTCTACGTCACGCTTTCGGCCACAGCGGCCTAACCGTCCTCACAGGAACTCCACCGCCATGATCGTTTCCCGTGCGGGGAGTGACATCTCGCTCGGTGTTTTCCGAGCAACCTCCCGT